AATAGTTTACTTCAGTTTTATTTTTTGCAGCTGCAGAACACAGGTAGGTAGCAAAGAGAACTAGTTCAGTTAAAATGAAAGAAAAACCATGTAATTCATTGGGATTTTTTTTGTTTAATTATGACCGTGGCCAGTTTTTCTGAACTTGATGGGCCAAAAGTAGCACAGGCTGCTCCCTCTGTCTCATACAGATGCAAGAAGGAAGAAGGTTCCTTCTACAATTAAGGGACTGTCCGCAGTCCTGCTGAGAGGTGTATATTTTTCTTATAGAAAATCAGTCTATTATTGTGGGGAATCACTTTCGCTTAGCTTGTCTGATTTTCCCTTGCCCACTCCTCCTAGCAAGCAGGTGTTCTCTTCACACATGCCTTAAAAGAGGAAGAGTTGAGCAGCTTCCTGATGTTTTCACAGGGAAGCCAGGGTGACAGCAAGAATGCCAAGAAGAAGAATAATAAGAAAACAAACAAGAATAAGAGCAGCCTTAGCCGAGCCAACAAGAAGAAACCCTCCATGCCTAATGTGTCGAATGATTTGTCTCAGAAGTTGTATGCCACAATGGAGAAACATAAAGAGGTACTATGTCCAAGCCCTTCTCATTTCCTTTTTTTGCAGTCACATTTGCAAAATTTAATGTTACAAAAGAGAGAGGGAGGGAAGTAGACCACATTAAGTAATGTGGTATCTTGGCGACTTGGCAGTTCTCATTGTTGGAAATTGTCTTGTGCTCACCTCTTCCTTTGCCTTCACATGGCAGGTCTTCTTTGTAATTCACCTACACGCGGGGCCCGTCATCAACACCTTACCCCCCATTGTGGATCCAGACCCGTTACTTAGTTGTGATCTGATGGATGGCCGGGATGCCTTCCTCACTTTAGCAAGGGACAAGCACTGGGAGTTTTCCTCATTACGTCGCTCCAAGTGGTCCACTCTGTGCATGCTTGTGGAGCTGCACACCCAGGGGCAAGATCGTTTTGTTTATACCTGCAATGAGTGTAAACATCATGTGGAAACACGGTGGCATTGCACTGTCTGTGACGTAAGTATATGTTGCCTGCTGTGATGCTACTCCAGGTTTGAATTGGCCTGCAAACCTGTCTCTTCTTTTCTACAATACTTTTAAAAATAATGTATGATTATGATTAATACATAATATATAATAACATAACTGTGGGCCCAATTATTATGATTTGAGCATCAGTTTTACACAATGAACAAAGCCATAGTAACACTTCTCTATGTGGGAATTCTGTAAGAATCCTATTTTCTGAGCAAGGCTGTTCTGTATTAGTGGCCACTGGAGTTCTTCATTATGTTCTTGATAATTGAATGACTTTTAATAGAACTAAAACTGTGACAGATGGAATGTCTGAGGTACATACACCTAGTTTCAACAAACTCTTCCCTATTCTTTTATGCAGGAGAACTGCATGCATGCATACTTTTTCACATGGTAGGTTGTTGATCTTGATATCTCTCACTTTGCTTTTCAGGATTACGACCTCTGCATTAACTGCTATAACAGCAAGAGCCATGAGCATAAGATGCTGAAGTGGGGCTTGGGCCTGGATGATGACGGGAACAGCCAAGGGGAACAGCAGTCCAAGAGCCCCCAGGAATCCCGTCGGCTCAGCATCCAGCGATGCATTCAATCTTTAGTGCACGCTTGCCAGTGTCGCAATGCAAATTGTTCGTTGCCATCCTGCCAGAAGATGAAGCGTGTTGTCCAGCACACCAAAGGCTGCAAGCGCAAGACCAATGGAGGCTGTCCTGTGTGCAAACAGCTGATTGCTCTTTGTTGCTACCATGCCAAACACTGCCAAGAGAATAAATGCCCAGTGCCCTTCTGCCTCAACATCAAGCATAAGCTCCGGCAGCAGCAGATCCAACACCGTCTGCAGCAGGCGCAGTTGATTCGCCGCAGGATGGCAACCATGACCACCCGAAACGTGCCTCAGCAGAATTTGCCTTCTCCTACCTCAGCAACACCTGGGACCCCGACACAGCAGCCAAGCACCCCACAGACTCCTCAGCCCCCTCCCCAGCCTTCCCCCGTTAGCATGTCACCAGCGGCTTTTCCTACTGTAGGGAGAACGCCAGCGCCCCCTCCCATTTCAGCAGGCAAGCCTTCCAACCAGGTGGCTGCTCCGCCTCCGCCTGCCCAACCCCCACCAGGAGCTGTGGAAGCAGCCCGGCAGATTGAAATCGAAGCAGCCCAACAGCAGCAGCAGCAGCAGCAGCAGCAGCAGCAGCAGCAGCAGCAACTCTACCGGGTGAGCAGCAATGGGTTGCCTCCAGGCCGAACAGGAATGGTGAGCACAGCAGTGGGGGCGGTCAATCCCATGCAGCAGGCTGGCATGAATGTGCCCCGACCTAACTCCGTCAGTGGCCCAATATTGCCCAACCTGCAGCCTGGGCAGTGGCAGTCATCAACTCCGGTGCCCCAACAGCAGCCAGGAATGCCAAGGCCAGTCCTGGCCATACCTGGCCAACAAACAGTAACTGGCCCAAGGATGCCAGGCGTGCAGCCACCAGCCCGAACGATTCCTCCAAATGCTTTGCAAGAGTTACTGCGGACTTTGAAATCTCCCAGTTCCCCACAGCAGCAGCAACAGGTGCTGAATATTTTGAAGTCGAACCCACAGCTCATGGCAGCTTTTATAAAGCAGAGAACAGCCAAATACGTAGCAAACCAGCCTGGCATGCAGCCCCAGCCAAGCATTCAACCCCAGACAGGCATGCCACAAACTCCAAGTCCACTGCAGCAGCCACCTCCACCAGCAGGGTTGCATGCTCAAACAGGCCTGCAGAATCTGAGTGCACTGCCAGCAGGTGTCCCACGACCAGGGGTCCCTCCCCAGCAACCAGCCATAGGAGGCCTGGCTGCACAGGGCCAGTCAATCAGCATCATGAATCCAGCTCACAATCCGGCTATGGCCAACATGAGTCCTCAGTACAGGGAGATCTTGAGAAGACAATTACTGCAGCAGCAGCAGCAGCAGCAGCAGCAAGGTGGAGCTGGGCTGGCCACTCACAGCCAGTTCCCGCAGCCTCCAGGCCCTGGAGTTTATGCCCAAGCCATTCAGCAGCAGCGGATGCAGCAGCAGCAGCAGCAGCAGCATCTTTCAATCCAAGCAGGGGCCATGGGGCAGCTAGCTCAGATGGGACAGCTGAATCCTATGGGGCAGCCAGCCATGGGAGCTGATAGCAGCCCTAACATCCAGCGACTCCTGCAACAACAGCAGCAGCAGCAGCAGCAGCAACAACAACTTAAGCCACAAATGGGCTCCCCAGGCCAGCCAAATTCCATGAGCCCCCAACAGCATCTGCTCTCAGGACAAGCCCCCCCGTCCCACCTCCCTGGCCAACCAATCAATGCCTCCCTCAGCAGCCAGGTGCGCTCTCCAGCACCTGTTCAGTCCCCCAGGCCCCAATCCCAGCCACCACATTCCAGCCCATCCCCCAGGATTCAGCCCCAGCCTTCTCCTCACCATGCCTCACCGCAGACTGGCTCACCTCATCCTGGGTTGGCTGTTACAATGGCTGGCTCCATGGAACAGGGACACTTGGGCAACCCAGAGCAGAGTGCAATGCTTCCCCAGCTCAACCCCCCAAATAGGAACGTGTTACCAAATGAGCTGTCCCTGGTTGGTGATACCACAGGAGGTGACACACTAGAAAAATTTGTGGAGGGCTTGTAGCATCCCATAGTTTCTCATGTTCCTGGACTTCTTGAACTGAAAAAGACTTGTAGCTCAAGCTAAGCCCTAGATGGGACTGATTCATCCTCTACCTGTGAATAGATGAATGGCTGTTTAAAAAAAAAGAGAATATATATTTTTTTGTTAAAGCCAGCCAGGTGTGGTTAAAATATCTGGTCTCCTTGTTGTGGGTTTTTTTTAGTTGTTATTGTTGACTTTACTTTTTTAAAGGGGAAAATGTGTCCATTATATTCATATTTTTTATTTGTACTTTCAAGACTAAGCAGCGGTGTTTAGCAAAGGAGAAAAATGTTCACATTCTAATGTATCTTGCTACATTTCTGACATTTGGCAGAAAGTTTTGTTTTGTTTTAGTCTTATTCTATTCTGGATTTTGCAAGTATCCTAAGTATTACTACCCCTTGGAAAGATAGGAACTGACTCTTGCACACATGGACACACATTGCAGATGTAGAAATTGTTGCTTGTTTCTCTGATAAAACTGGTTTTAGATTTTAAAAAAAAATAGGGACACTCACTACTTAGGACATATTAATTTTAACAGGGAAGAAGTGTATTCTGTAATTCTTTGATGTGAACTTGAACTGAGGAAAAGCAATTACAGTGTAAATCATGCAAACTATTATTACTATAAATATGAACAATTCAAGATTCAATCACTGTATAGAGGGGGGAACAAACTCATTTCTTACTTCTATAGCATATTGTTAAATAAACTGTGTGCAACAGACAAAAAGGATGTCCTTGAATTCATGTACATGGTATTAACAGTGTTTGGATTTTTTGTTATGAAAATGCTGTTTTCAACATTGTATTTGGACTATGCATGTCTTTTTTCCATTGTATATAAAGTATTGCTTAAAAGTGATATAAATTACTGAAGTTTTTAAAATGTTTCTGTCCTTTAAATCCATGTAAGATTGTCAAGTTTGTATTTGATTGTGTGCCAGTGCAAGTATAGGAATATAGGTTTGAGTTCATTGAAAGGCATCCAGTAAGGAAGTAGTACTCATACTTGGCTGTACTAATTCGTAAGAATTAACAGAAGGAATGAGAAGTATTCGTTTTTTAAAAACACATTTTGGGGAAGGAACACCAGTTTGACTGAAATAGATGCTTCCTAAAGTAAAATCGAAGAACAAGGTTTTCTGTGCAATAACAATGAAGAAACTACACAACAGATTCAGAAGGGACAACTTCATCTCTTTCTATTGATTTTCTCAGCCTGGTTCTATCTACGATGTCCCCTACAAGGATGGCTATACTGTTTTTGAGGGGAGCAAAATTGGGCTTCTTACTCTGCCTCATACATTATCACTCATGATGGGTTTTGTCAGATACCATAACTAACAATTGTATCTAATGTATTACAGTTTCAATGTAACTGAAAATACCACATAGGTTGTACACTAAATACAGAGAAATCCTTCCTCAGGCGAAGAGTGGTGGTGGTGGTATGGAAATCATGTAAAACCTCTTACATAGGGGCATGACATAATGTTAATGTTTATTTATTTAATAAACACGTCTGCCCATCTTATATACATGACTCTGGGCAGTAACGATTAAAAACGTTGCAATGTGGGACCAATGACATTTTTAAAAGATTTATTCACATTTAGTACATAAAATGATTTCTTGTTTTTTTAACAGGGAAAGTAAGTAATGAAATCAATTATATAATTTAAGCAGTCTAAAAGAAGACATGCATTACCACCCCCCTATGCAAGTATTAACGGTTTTGATCCTCCAGTCCTCCCAAATCTTTGAGAAGCAAAAATTTAGTGTTCAGTAAAAATGCTGCCTTCTCACATCACATCATCTTGCTCTCTTCTTCCCAGTTTTGCTTTTTTTACACAACACCACCCCCTGGGAGACAATTTTGTAGTAAATTACTTGGGTGGTACTCAGGCAACATAAACTTGAAAGTTGTCTTTACAAATGAAGGAGTATGCTTTTTCCTCCAACATCAGCCAGCCATAGGGGAAAGGTAGGGCAAAGATACTTCTTGGCCTTAACCGGTCATCCCAACAGGCATGCTGAAATCATTCCTCAGGATTGGATGGGAGTGACCAACTCTGACATCAAGCAGCTCAAATCTTCAATTTGGGCAACAAGGCAGTTTTGACTTAACCAAATTAAGCATGACCTGCCCCCATCAGCTGCAGTCTGTGGAAAACTCTGCATTTAAATCCGCAGAAAACATCTTTTATTACCAAATAGGGACAACCCATATCTAAGTCAACGAGAAAATGGACTGCCCCTGCAATCAGCACACCTGTCCAAAGCTGCTCTAAGGACGCACACTATCCATTGTCCAAAGTTTGGCTAAAAGGGATCAAACTCACTTCAAACCCCAACACAAATTATTTCCCCCCTGCTTCCCCCTCAAAAAAGGATTGAGCAAAGAAAAACATATAAACATGAAAATGAACTGACTGGAAAGTTGCAGAGGAAAAAAACTTCCAGGAGTTCACCTTTTCGAAGAATATCAAATAGCCAAAGGGCTTAGCATCAACTTTGCCCTTTTTTCTTGCATCTGTGCAGGTGGTGTTTTTTCTCTCTCCGAGTTTCTGCAGTGGTAAACGTGATCCCGTTGGTATCCAAAAAGTCCAACAACTTGTCCAATGCAATCCTCATGCCATTCTGCTTTAGTTCTGCATGCAGTACAGACAGTTTAATGGGCTGATACAGCAGGATTTGCTGGCAAAGAGATGGGTTGGAATGAATATAGTGCTTCAAGATTTCCAGTTTCTGATCCTCACCACTAGCGGCAATCTGAGAAGCAAGTACATTTTCCTCTTTCTCTGCCAGCATACTGATTTTACACTCCGTGGATGAACTAGGAACAGGATAAGAAAGGAAAAGGCATTACGATACCTAGACAATCTCTTAAATGTACCTTATTTTTTAAAAAGGTGGGTACTTGGTATAACCCAGACCAGAACTACTCACATCCACTACACAGCATCAACATAACCATTCCCCCAATTTAAGGCTAACTAAAGGTAGAGAATATGGCTGTCTGAGGACAGGGGATGGACAGGTGATTTTCAAAGTTCTTGCCTTCATTCCTCAACATCTGTTGAAACATGCCAACAGCCTAAAAAGTCAGAATGGAAGAATGAACACATCTGCCCCATACCTTTGAGATGCTGCATAAGTCTCACTTCCAGCTCCTGTTGTGCCAGCTGACGCTTCAGAAGTTGTCAGGATTAAATCTCCATTACCCTCTCCATCAGTTAATCTGTTTGCAGGAAGAGCAACTCCCTTCGGCCACACAAGTCCAGCCTGTGGCCCCTGAGCATCTCCTTCAGAGAGATCTATATGTTTAGTTCTATTTGGGCTCCCCTGAAGCAGTCGATAAGGGGAAAGACATTTTTGCTGCAGTTTCCAAAAGGAACTGGTAGAAACCGGCACAGTTTTTTTCTTAGAGTCGGTTCCTGCCTGTTGGTGAGTAAACTGAAAAATTTCCTTCAGTTTTAAAATCATCTGCCGTTTTGGGAGAGCACGAACACCAAATCTAAGGAAAAAGGAGGCCAAATCACAATTTGCAAGTAAGCACAACCTGTAAAGTATTTTTGCAAGTTCTTGCCTACAGAAGGGTCCTGCTTCAATCCCGACAGCACCCACCTGCTCAATTCCTTCTTCAGTTCTGGGGTGTCCATGCTTGAATAAGGTGGAAAGGGCATGAGCGGAGTAACACAAGAGATGTCCCTGGCTTGGCAGGCAAGATCTGTAACTGATCAAAACTAAATCAAATCAGCCACGTGGGCTATACTCTGCTGCAAAACCTGTCTATCACCACCATACATACTGCACTTATTAGTCCACAGTAAAATCATTCCAAACCTCTGGGAAGACAGCTATCAGATATTAATCCCCATCATGCACAATTTTTTTTAAATAAAAAAAAATTCAACAGTTAATTAGAAAAGTGCTTTAAAAAGGAGGAAGCCAAAACTGAATTTCTAGATTGTTGCTCCCCTCCCAGAATCTACAGGAAATAGGATACATCCAAAGATCACTGTCTTTTGCAAAACTAAGGACCCAATGCAGCTTAGCCAGGATTCTGGTCTTGCGCTTCAGTGTGAACATTCATCGAGCTTCAAAGGACTTGACAGCTAACAACTAAGTAACTGGGGTTTTTTTGGCCATGTTACAAAGCAGCCTTAACTGTCAAAGAAGTTGTCATAACTGACCCAAAGCAGCAACTTACCAGAAACCTTTGGAACAGGTATGGAAGCAGACAAACTTGAGGAGGCAGGAAGAGCTTCATTGCTATCAGAGTCTTCTCCAGGCCAATTTTGAGAGTTGTGCAAATCTCCCATTCCAAAATGGAATGTAGCTGCTGAATTAGTTACACTACTAGCAACAGTCACAGGGTGATTGTTCTGAATGTCAAACATGTGCACAGAAGTCCTCAAAGGATTTCTGGCATTTGCAATTATTGCCTCCAAAGGTTCTACAAAGATGCCCCTTGAACATAGTGGCACTGCTTCCTGCTCCTCCTCATTATCATCCACAACCACCACATCTCTCTCTGCTGCACACAGGCCATTGTCAGATTTCACTATTTCGAGCAAAGAAGTAGATGAAAGCACCGGCAGAGGTTTATAGTTGCAAGACAGTTCTGTCTGGGTTTCATAAGTCCATTGTTTTTCAAGGGAAGAATTCAACCTGGATTTTTCAACCTGCACATCATCCAAGCTATTCCAGGCTGCCACAGGAGTTTCAGGCACCACCAATGTCCTTTCTTCACTCCAGCCTAAACCTCCCCAGAAGCTGCCTTCTTTGTGATTACTCAGGTCCAAGGGCTGATGGCATTCACCCAAAGATTGTGCCTCATTACACATTAGTGTGCCCAATCCATCTCCCACTTTACTTACATCCTGCTGGGGAGGGCCTGGGCTCCAGCAGTTCATGACATCACCAACAGGGCTCTCTTTATGCCATGAGTGTTGCTCAGAGAAGCTTGAAGCGGCTTCTGCCTGTTTCTTTTCTGCCTTCTGCTCCAGCTCTTCATCAGAATCCAGTACTACAATATGATCACCCGTCATGTTCAGATCATGAGGATTCACCACACCAGACTTCTCTAGGCTGCCAATAGGAGCCTCTCCCTTCCTGTTTATATTCTCTTGCTTATCATTTTGAGAGGGAAGCCTATCTAATATGTTTGGTTGTGATGCAGATGTTATTGGAGAGAAAAGAACTTCTAGGTCTCTTGGCAAAGTCATCTGGAGATCTTTTGCTGGCACTTGAAAAAATCTTGGAGAATTTCTTGCTGTAATTTCATCTTTGGCTGTGTTAATATTCTTCTCCCACAGAGAACAACAGTTCATTTCTGACATAGAAAATTGGGCTGTAGACCTCTCCAGATGATTACTATGAGTGGAATCCCCCGCTAACCTGAGATGAATCTCACTTGTGGGCTCTTTTCTAGTACTTGCTCCGAAGGACACTATTTCCTTAAAATCTCGCTGGAACTCAACAGAATACTTTTTCAGATCTTTTTCCATGCTGGCAATAGAGGTTTTCAATTTGGATGAGTCTTGATCACTTTTTATTTCACTTTTCCTAAGTGTCATGCCTCTTCTGGGCTTCTCTAGCACCTTTCTTGGGCAAGAAGCACCATCTTGGCCAATTTTCTTTTCCACTTCATCACGTCTGTATTCAGTGCAAACCTTTTCCTTCCTGGCTTCATCAGATGTCATTCTGCGCTGGGTAGCCACAAACTCATAGATCTCCTCTAATTCCTGCTCATTCATATTGTCACTGATTTCATCTCTGCATACAGATTTTGCTGCAGTTTCTTCATCTTCATCCTGCCACATGGATTTCAAAAGTTCTTCAAAATTTTCAACTTCGTCTTTATCATCAGCTGGCTTTTCTACAGATACCTCTTCACTAGGTTGGCCTACACACAGAACAGCCAATTCTTTCATTCCAAACCTGCAAACATACAAATATACATAAATGTTCTTTCTCTCTTTGAGTACAGTCCTGCTGATTGATGCAGCTGACACAGTTCTACAGAGGAATTATGGAGTCTGTCATCTGCACTTCTATAACTGTCTGGTTTGGTTCTGCAACCCAACAGGACAGACACAGACTTCACAGAGTAATTAGGACTGCAGAAAAAATAATTGCTACTAACCTGCATTCCATCGAGGACCTGTATACTGCACGAGTCAAAAAGAGGGCTGTGAAAATATTTACAGATTCCTCATATCCTGGACATAAACTACTTTTCCCTGAAAGCCATCACTCTGCTAACAACCAATTCCCTCAATACTGTTCAACTATTACAAAGTCTACATTACTATTATTGTTAATCTTCTCAACACTCCTTATCACCCATCCCCTCCCACTTGTGACTGTATGACTGTAACTTTGTCGCTTGTATACTTACGATTTATATTGTTTCCTAGTATGATTTGATTGCTTATTGTACCCTATGACTTTCATTAAGTGTCGTACCTTATGATTCTCGACTCTTGACGAACGTATTTTTATGTATAGAGTATTTACACCAAGACAAATTCCTTGTGTGTCCAATCACACTTGGCCAATCAAGTATTCTATTCTATTCTCAAAACGATGCTATAGAGCACTGCACACCAGAACAACTAGACACAAGGAGTTTTTTCCCATCACTCCGCTAAACAACTAATTCCCACAACACTGTCAAACTATTTACTAAGTCTACATTACTATTACTATTAATCTTCTCATCACTCCGTATCACCCATCCCCTCCCACTTTATGACTGTATGACTGTAACGTGTATCCTTACAATTTATATTGACTGTTTCCTAGTATGATTTGATTGCTTATTTGTACCCTATGACTGTATTAAGCATTGTACCTTATGATTCTTGATGAATGTACCTTTCTCTTTATGTACACTAAGAGCATATGCACCAAGACAAATTCCTTGTGTGTCTAATCACACTTAGCCAATAAGGAATTCATTCATTCATTCAATCCATGGTATAAGATAATGGAATCCTTACTCATGTTTCATATAGCAAACCAAAACAAGTTCTGTTCAAAACTATCTTATGGTAAATTTCACAATGGTTTCCAACCAACTAAATACTCGGAAGCAGGGGTCGCCAACCTTTTGGACCCCAGGGATCACCAAACTCATAATTTTAAATCCCTTGGACCAGAGACCCTGGGAAAATTCCCCACCCTGTTTTCCTACTGATCGATCATTATTTGGTATCGCAGGATACCGTCTCCAGCTCCATTCTCGAGGGGGGGGGGGGGAAGAGAGAGGGAGAGACTTTTGGCTTCATGCAAGGAAAGCAGCAGAAGCAGCAGAAGTCTTTCTTTCTCTCCCCCAAACTCCACCAGAAATGAGTCTTTATGAGACTTGTCGCGCCGGCACAGCCTCTTGGAGCAGGATGCCTTGCAGGGTCCCAAAGACTCATTTCTGGCGGAGTTTGGGGGAGAGAAAGAAACACTTTTGCTGCTTTCCTTGCATGCAGCCAAAAGCAGAAGAAAGAAGCGGCATGAAGCAGCCTGGTGGCCAGGGGAGGCGCCTGGGGCGAATGGGGCAAGTTCCCCCCCCCCCCCGCCCTTTCCCCCCTCCTCACTACCTTGTGTTGTTTGTTCCCGCAGGCTATGTGGGTGGCACAGCCTTGTGTTCCCATGCAGCCTGGATTAATTGCTTTGGGGGGTGTTTTGGGGGTGACATTTCTCTGCGGACCATGAAAATTTTCTCACAGACCACCAGTGGTCCCCGGCCCACTGGTTGGCAACCACTGCTCTCAAGCATCAACACACCAACCTTATTGCTAGGTCAATCACATCTGACAGCAAATGTTGGGGTATGAAATGTTCAGCTGTGTAGAGGTACTTCAAGAACAGAGCAACAGCATCCCCTGGAGCATCATGTAGCAGCACACGGGAGGCTCCAACTTCTCCTTCTTCAGCCACCACAAAACGTCTGTGGTCAATCTGGTAGCAGAACAGAAAGGGACACCAATCTCTGCAGCAGCAATCATAACCCAAAGCTCCTTCCCTTCTTCTTTCAAACTTTCCTGACCACATGTGGAAGTTGTTCTGTATTGCAGACATTCAAAAGCATTAAGCTTTCTGCCACCATCCGTTTTTATGTTTGCCAGGCAAAAGGCCTCCTGCCTCAGCAATTATAAACACATCTGCATTTTGTACAATACAGGTAATCCTTGTTACGACAGTTCAAAGTTGTGACATGAATCTCCCACACATCCACACCCCAAGCTCTTATGACAGTCTCAAGTTTATGAATGTTGCAGCACCACAACAGTCATTCGCCCTTACGACTGACCGCAGAGGAACTGCAACGTTCACCCTGCTTATTCCCTGATCTAGCAAGCCTTCGGTTTCTTTGCTTGCTTTGGTACATTCGCAAAGAACTGAGGCCTAAAGAACTGCAAGTTCACGCAAGAGTGATCTCATAGTACTTTAGGCCTCGGTTCTCTGGATCAAGAGACCAGACGACATCCGTGGCAAAAGCCTTTACAAGCCGACGGGAGGCTTTGAGGCAGTGAAATCACGCTACCTCAAAGAGTCCCATTGGCTTGCAAAAGCGGGTGGCCGCTTGAAGCTGCGTGATCTCCAGTGCTTTGCGTGCTGAGATTTCCAGCCTCAGCATGCAAAGCCTTTGCAAGCCAATGGGACATTTTGAGGCAGCATCATTTTGCTGCCTCAAAGCCTCCCGTCAGCTTGTAAACGCTTTGAGCACCGAGACTGGAAGCCTGTGGGGGAGACTCACTGAGGCTACCCATCACTCTAAAAGCGGCAGGCAGCCTAGGTGACTCAATGAAGCCAAGCAGGGCGTGCTCGTCCCACTCTCCCTCTGCTCTCACCTTTTTGAAACGCCAGGAGCAGGCAAAGGAACTGTGGCAGAGCGGACACAGCTTGCTTGCTTTTCACAAGGTGAGTGCTTGTGGAGACCCGCTTGGCAGGATGGGGGGAGGGGGGTGGAATTGTGGGGAGCATGGGGTATCTCAGTGAGTCGGGGAGGCCTTGGGTGGTCAGAAGCACTAGGCCTCCCATGGCCTTCCCCACCCTGAAATACATCATGCGCACCTAATAACCTGCACATTTGATTATCCAATGCATGGGTGAAAGCAGGGAGTTTTCATGTTCATTTTACGTGATTCATTACAACAAATCTTTGGGTTATAAATGTAATTGGCAGGCTCCATTACGTTCATAACTCAAGGACTACCTGTATAAGAATACCAACTTTACAGTCCTATAAGCTATCCAAAGTTCCTTTGATCCCTTCCACCAATTAAATCTTTAGTTTTTTCAAGGCCTTCCACTTCTGTTCAAAACTATCATACGGTAAATTTCACAATGGTTTCCAACCAACTAAATACTCGGAAGCAGGGGTCGCTAACCTTTTGGACCTCAGGGATCACCAAACTCATAATTTTAAATCCCTTGGACCAGAGACCCTTTTTTCTGCTCTTACAGCCTCCATCTTGCTGAATTGGCCTCATTTTGCACTTGCCTATTGTAAGGCATAGCTGGTTGCTGTGAAATAACTGGTGTGCCCCTCACTGGTATTCCTCTTCCAAGCGATGCTATTAGAATCAACCTCAAGAGGAAAATTTAGAGATAAGAAAACGGAAAAAGTCCACAAATATGGATCCATAATTTACAATCAAGAATGAACAATGTTAAAATGTTTTCTATGTACAGGCCTTAAACACTTTATGGCTACTTACAAATTGTAAAAGCTCAGGACACCGTGCATACAATACAAACATATGGGCATAAAAGACTTCCCCGCTATCCACCTGGATCTGGATGTCGCTCAAATGAGGGTTATTAACCATCTCCTTGAAGGCAGCAGTCAGTGAGCCAACAGGGAACTAGAACAGGAAGGAAGAAAAAAACATAATCGTTCCTCTTTCACAGCCCACAGGCAGATAGAAGATGTTAAATTTCTCACTAAAAAGTTAGGTCTCCCATTTAAAAGGAAGATTTGGGGAAAGGACTGCCAGCAATTCACACCCTGGCTTTGTCCCAGAATCTTTAGAAGTTCTCTACTTGGCAAAAAGGAAATGAGGGCATTTTATATTACGTAGAGATCCAGTTACTTCTTTAACCCTATTGTGATGCTGCTGCCAAGCAATTATACAACTTGAAGAACTGAGTTTGGGTAGATGCTCAGTATCATTCCTCATTTAGATACCCTTTGCGTACAATTACATCCTTACTGCTTCACAGGAGCACTTTCGGGATAGTTGCTGCTGCTGCTGCTGCTGCTGCTGCTTCTCCAACAACCAAGTAAAAGCCTTTTGCTGAGCATGTGGCATCTGTTCTTCTTCTATAAAAAATCACCACCACCATCATCAATATAAACCTGGCCCAGAATATTGTCACTGTTACACATGAGCACAAATCAAATGTTTTGTTTATACCATGGCTTTGTTCCCTTCCTGTTTGTCTCAGATACTACAGATTCCTTCAAGGGGGGTGAGATTTAGCAGAATTAACATCTATTTAGGCCAAGACAGGCACACAGAACCACAGCTCCAAAGAGAAACATTTTTGGACATTTTATCTTCTGTGGCCCTAATTCCAATGGCTGCTTACAAAAGGTGAAACTTAAAAGGCTGCATTACTTGCTCATCAAGAGCCAGGGATGTCACCACCCTTATAGGCAGCCAAGGTCTTTACAGCCCTCTGACCTCCCAGTCCTCCACCAGGCAGCCTCACCCGGGTGCTCCAGCCGCCCCACATCAAGGCTCCACTGGGTGAACGTGAGTCCTTCCCCGGCCAACGCCAGGAGATCTCGCAGGGTATCGGCGGCATCTGTCGGACTGGCGGCTTCGTAGCAGTCGCCGGCTCTGCTTGGGAAACGCTCCGTCTCCGGAAGCTCCGCTGGCGCCCCAGGCGGGCTGGATGCCGACCTCTGAAAAGGGAGGAGGCGGCTCCATGGCAGCCCGGGCGAGACCGAATCGCTCTGCGGGACCGGCCGAGCGCCCGGGCGGAAGACCTCCACCTGGCCGTGGGGAGACGATCTCGGCCTCGAGACGGTCCGGCGTCTCTCTGGGTCTCCGGGGACAGAAACGCCGCAAAAGAGCGACGGCTCAGCTGCCCCGGAGGGGAAAGGAGGGTCCCCGGAGAAGAGCCCGCCGCTTCCCCGCACCTGATCAGCCCCCCAAGGGGCGACGGCCGGGACTCCCGTCAACGAGCTCAGCTCCCACAGCCAGCCGGCCGGGCCCGCATTAGCCGGGGGCCCCTTCCAGCGGCTGGCGGGCAGCGGGGGCGTGCGAGGCGCAGCCGGGGCCTCCGACAGCAGTAGGGCCGCCCGGGCCTCGAGTCCTCGGCGGGCCTCCTCAGGCCCTTGGAGCAGCAGCGGCGGCGGCGACCTCCCGCGGCCCCTCGTCTCTAGGCGGAGAGCAGGCGGCAGTCAGTACCTCCCCGGCGGCAGCCTCCGCCGTCCCCCGCCGCCCCCCGCCGGACTCACCCGCCCTCCTGGGCCGCTTCCCGCCGTGCGCGGCCTCCGAGCGCGACCTGGCCGGGACCGCCAGCGGTTCCCCGGCCGCCTCCCGCCGCCTCTTCCTCCCGGCCGGCCGAGGGGCCCCGCGTCGCTTCTGCCCGGGCTCCGGGGAGAGGGGGGGCGGGCGGGCGGCGGAAGCCGCGGCTGTGCCAACCTCGCGAGGCCGCCGCCGCCATCTCCCCGGCGGATCCCGCAGCCGAAACTCATCTTCCGAGTCGGCCATTTTGGCAGCGCAGGCGCCACCTTCCCGCCGCGCGAGCGCCCCCTGCCGCTAGGCCGCCGACCCACCCAAGGCGCCGCCGACGCCACAGCCCCGCGCCGGGACCGAAGGGCCGCGTAAAGAAGCAGGAGCCGTGCAGGGTTTTTATTGAGTATTTTATCCGAGACGAAGCACAACCATCTCTTGCAGCAGGCTGCCCCATCTGGGACCCCAGGCAGAGAAGGCAGCCCCAGGAGGCCGTTGAGCTTATGGCACAGGTTCAGTGCTTCTCCAGGGCCCGGGCAAGAAGCTCGTTCAGCCGGTTCACCATCGGCCGGGGGTCTTCGCTCAGTCCTGCCGTTATCATGGCATTGTCATAGATCTGCAGCCAAAGGAGGAGGAAGCAGAGGTGGTCACGCAACCCAGGCGGCAGAGTCGGAACGCAGCCAAAAATTGCAAGGCAAGGGTCCTTCTCTGGACCAGGAGGGCAGAGAGGAGGCATGCAGATTCTCCTTTGCCCGGTGTGTGTGCGTGTGCGCGTGCCAAGGAGACCTGGCCCTGTTCAGCTGACACAGCTCTTCCCAACTCCCTCATCGTTAATGTGCCAGCAGCAGGATCTAAAATAGCAACAGCACTAAAGATTTATATACCACTTCACAGTGCTTTTCAGCCTGCTCTAGGCATTTTACAGAATCAGCATATTGCCTCCAACAATCTGGGTCTTCATTTTACCAACCTCTGAAGGATGGAAGGCTGAGCCAACTTTAAGGCAGTCAGGCTTGAACTCCTGGCACTTAGCTGAATCAGCCTGCAATACTGCGTTCTAATTACTGTGCTACCAGGACTCATACACGTCAAAAGGAGTGTGGTTGCACCACTTGTTTAAGCTTCCTCTCTGTTCTTGTAAGGGGGGAGGGCGGGAGAGAAAAAATAAAATAGGGATGGTAGTAACTTGCCAAATTCCCAAGTTATCTACCAGACCTAGAATGGTGTCTTCCTGATGATGCCCTGAGAAAAAGTCAAGGTGGTTCAGAGCTTTACTTTGTCCAGCAGTCGATGCAACTCACCTGGTCAAGCAGCATTTGGGCCAGGTCAGGCTGGTCAATTCGTAACTGGTTGAGTTTCTTGACTAGTGTGTGTCTAGTGAAGAAAGTGACAGGGTAAGAGCTGCAGGCCAGGAAGGAGAAGACCCTTCCCTAAGAGAAAATTGGCCTGAGTCCCCAGATGACTTCTTCCCCATACCCGGCATTGATCTCCAGCGTGGGTTGCAGGATTTGGGCTCGCTCTTCACTGGTCTTTGCCAGCTGCTGCATGCGCAGGAAGTGGCGGGCAGCACCCATCTCCAGCACTGTGATCATGGCTGGATGTGAATCCAGACGTGGAGTCACCTGTAGGCAACAAACACCTTTGGACATGTTCTGCACCCCAGAAACTGCCAAGCTCACACAAATAACTTCTTCCCTCAGCCTGCTGACTCTCGGCTGACTCACTCCTCCCCTTGCCCTTGTGGCATTTCACATGTTGCTGCAGAAGTAACTGATCACGACCACCAGCAGAAATGTCCATTAAGCCCAGGATTCAGTGATCTGAAATGGGGAGGGAGCTCAAGTAGGACTCAGCAGGTAAGACTCCACCTGCAAGGAGTGCTTGAAGCAGCCAGGGAAAGAGGATGGCTGGCTGCTATGGGTGTGTGCACCAAGGGCAGCACTGGGCAGGAGGGGCTGTCCAGGGATGCACCCAGTCTCCATACTCCTCATCTCACTGGGGTTATGTGCTACGGGAAACGCAGCTGAAGTCCAGGCTCCCTAGGATGACACAGCCCCGGGGGCTCTACGGCTCCCACCACCACCTCATCCACCGAGCATGGCCTCCCTCATCCCTCACCTTGACAGCAGCGACCCGTGAGCCAAGGGCATTCCTCATCCAGGCCAGGAGATCCTCCACTGCTTGGGAGCTGAGGCGGTTTTCAGCTGCAATGGGAGGATTGAAACAGCATTTTGAGGAGAGAATCAGAGTTCTTTCCAGTCATTCCCTTTCCATCTCTAAAGGGATCTAACAAGCTTTTCCTTGATCTTTCTACAAGTAACTGATAGAAACTCTTCCTTACTCTCTAAACACACCCGTCAAAATCACAGGCTGACTGACAGCACAAGAATGTATTTTCTTCACCAGAGCACAAGGGAATCGTTTCTGGCCAAGGCAGGCCCCATTGATCAGAAATGGTCCCGTTAGGCACCTACCTGAGTGACTTTCCTCAAACTTCTCCTCCTTATAGTGGTCAACAGCAATATCTGTCTCTACTGAGATCAGTTTCTTCTTGTCAAACTCTCGTAGGTGCAGAAGAGTCAGCTCATCAAACTGCTTATAGCAGAAGAGCACCTGTGGCCCAGAGAGGGGTGGTGTAAGGTCATTTAGTTAAGATTATATACTTATCTTTGATCCCTTGGGAAACTCTCAACCACTGAGCATCACTAAGTCTCCAACAATCTTAAAACCCCATTCCCACCATTTACAACAAGTTGGTAGAGAGCTTCCTGCAGAATGAAGTTGATGCAACAACAGCACCATATTCTGCTCCAGGCGGGAAACTTTACAAACCAAGCACCACTACCGCTACATCCTCCCCGGAACTCACCTTCGCTCTGAATGTCTTTGCTCACCTCAACATTTTTCTTTTTTGTTGCTTCATAGTATGGAGAGTGCTCAGCCAAGTTGCGAGTGGGAACACATAGATAATAGATGTTTCTACTGCCAGCTGGCATACGGCTAGCATATTCCGAGAGGCTGGTTAATTGGCCTGGAGGTAGCACCGAGGACTCATAACGCAACAGCTTTGCTACTTCCTCCTAAGACGAAAGTTTTGTCAGTAATGAGGGAAAGGAAGGTAGGTGTGCTTGCCTACCCTTCCCTCCACGACTAGCTCCAATTGGCCTCTCTTATGTAGGGCCCTAATTATCAAAGGAAAGGAACCATGACAGAGGGCTTCAGAGGCATGGGAGCCTCCTTGGCCACTCACAATACCTTGGCTTCCTGCTCAGCCAGCATGACAATTCCCTCACGGATAAACAATCCATAGTCCTCAAAGAATGTGGCGTATTTCTCAGGGTCCTTCTTACTCTGGTCAACGAAGAACTTGATCAGCCTCCGTTGCAAAACCTCTCTGAGCTTTCTACACAAGAAGATCAAACAATAATGCATTAATTAGCAAGAGAAGAAATGGATCAAGAGGATATGACCTTCTGTAAAGCCAAAACTGGCAGTAACTTGTGAGGCATTACTTCTCCACAACTTATGCCTGATTTGATCCAAACCATCCCAACATACCAGGAGTTCAGACTGCAATGGAGGGAGGTCAGCTGAATTGTTAAGTGGCATCATAGTATGGCTGGGTTCTCTTTTGAAAGCTGGTAGCCCCCTTCTGTACTTGCTTAGAATGACAAAACATCAGACTCCCAGATAAGCAGAAACTACTACAGTTTTTATATCAACAATGCTAGGACACCACCTTCAAAAATATTAGTTTTTCAGATTACAGCCGTGATGAGCAGGTTCCAGAGAAGCCACACGTCACTGCCTACCAAGACCATTTGAACCAAGCTTTTTCCTCACCTGACAAGGATACTTTCTTGAAGCAGTTCTCGGCTGAGATTCAAGGGGATATCCTCACTGTCCACAACCCCTGCAAGGAGGTAAATAAAGAGATAGGCTGTGCTTTGCAACAGTCCTGCCGATTTGCAGCCTCCTCCTCCTCCTCCTAAACAGGGGTCTTCTGACTACCTTTCAGGAAACGTAACCATTTGGGTAAAATCTCAGTAGCCTTGGTCATGATCAGGACCTTACGACTGTAGAGGGCAACACTGGAGCCTTGCTCCTGGCTTACATCAAACATGGAAGGTTTCTAGGAAAGTATGAAAGAAAGAGAAGAACAAGTGGAAATCAGAGTTGCAGTGCAAAGACCATCCTCCTGAGGTGAGGTGCGATCCTGTTACAATCTCCTCCCATGTCAGTTTTAGATTTGAGACCAGCCAAACGAGGCAAGGCTGCCCATCCTTCCCACTCACCACCCCTGGCACGTAAAATATGCTGCGGATGTTGAGAGGTGCATCGGTCTTGTAATGCAGGGTGTAGCGAGGCTCATCATACGCGTGGGCAATGAAGTGGTAGAACTCCGTGTGCTGCCAATCTCCAACCTCCTTGGCCTCCATCATCCAAAGGGCCTGAGCAGAGAGAAGACATCCTTAGTTGAAGCCAGCCACATGCCCAAAGCAGGAGCCCCAATGAAGGAGAAAAGGGCAAGTTTCCATGAACATAGCAGCATTTTGCAGATGGAGCTGGTGCCAGCAGTAATTTTTATCAATCCCAAAAACCACAGGAGATCCAAATAACCATAGGGAACAATTAAGTGTTTCCATAGTACATGGGTGGCAAGGTAGAAAAGGGCAGCTGGCATTTCCTCCACAGAGATCTTCTAGAGATACCAGAGGATTGTGTGACGTCTACTTGCTAATATGCCATTTAGCTCGAGTCCAGCTCCAAGGACCACCCAGTATCTCCTCTACCTTCAAGGTGTTGACACGTTGCCCGTTCAGATAGAGGGGGAAGCTGATGAAGTTGCTATACTTTGTGATGATGTCTAGAAAGGGAACAAAGACGGGCTGAAAACTCTGCCAACTTCCTCTGCACTCCCAGTAGGGATCTTCATCCAACCAATATGTAACTGGGACTAGGCGCTAATCTCAGGCAGCCACTATACAGACAGGGTAGAGTTGAAAAAGAAATTCAGAACTACAGAATAGGACCACCTAATATATTACTACTTAATGAAGTTTTTCCTGAACCAGTTTGATTCTGAAACCCACTCTAAGTATTGCAATCAAGCTACCAAGCTTTTCATGGCTGGGCACCATCTCCAAAAATATTCCTTCCAGTCATCTTCAGAAGCGTTACTTGGAGGGTCTGGAATACGCTCCCGCAGAAGCTAACCAGGGCTACACCGAAGGAATGGACAAATTTTAAAAAAAATAAACACGTCCTATCAAATGGCAAGGGATACACAGGACATTTTGAAAGCATTTTGCAAAGCATCTATTACAGCTATTATTCCTTAGTC